TTGTCGTTATTTTTGCTTTTACAATTTGCATCACCACTAATGTCCATTTTTTAATCGATACTTAGGTAGAAATAGAAAATAATTTAATTCAAGCAAATTTTAGTAATTTTAATAAAAATAATTTAAAAATACCAACTCCTAAACGTCATGCCATTCGTGGTTATTGAAATTGTAAATTTACAATACGTTTATGGTCCAGTTGTTCGCATGGTTGTCCAAACCGAGAATCGTCAAATCAAACAAAAGATATACCAAGAAATCATACACTGGCTGGATACATGATAATATTTGCTATACACACTACTAATCCCGCAGCACATACAGTGCCACGCCCCACACGCACATAGTATATCATACTGCATCATAATTAATATTCTCACGAACATCCATGTATATCACTTCGTAATTTGCGCTAATACATACGCCTAACACGGGTGTTAAATAAAATTAGAATGTGCATTACGCCATGTGGCTGTATATGTCAATCGAGCTTAGTTCGCGTAGTACCCTCCCATCAATGACGGAGCGAATTATTACGCAAATGATAAGCACACATGTGTCGTAGGTCATTGGTCGCTATCTAAAATATACGTCATTATTGCTGTGAAAGATAAACATATTACTTGCGTGTTTTCAGGAATGATCATATCATTGGAATCTAGCTACTTTATAAAAGCAAACATCTTCCAGTCATTATTATTTCTGCGATAAGGTAACTGTAAATCTCAGGTTAGTTTAACAGTGTATATACGTGTGAATGTACGCATGCTATTTGTATTTAGAAACGATTTGCTGTCGATTTGTGGTAAAACAGCCAGCTGCCTGGTCGTCTATGATAAACCACCCGCACAACAATACAATACGATGCACGATATTGCAACCTTTTGTGCTGGTCAATTGTAAATTATCTAAAATTTATTTTAATATATTTTGTTCTTCCAAAGCGTAGGATTTACATTGGTATTCATTTCACTGCACCGCTTAAATTTATGTTAAATAACTATTAAATAAGCTATTTTGATAGCCGTAATGATTGGGTTTTTCCATGTACCTCAAATCAAACAGTGAAAATATATAAACATTATTTAATTGTATAATATGAGGATGTTAAATATACACTAAATACAAGGGTTTGACTCCAACACCTGGCTTAATCGAAGAAACACACGAGTGTGTACTTGTGTAGTGACGTTACCACACACAGAGATAGGCTACCAACAGAAGGGAGAAAAGAGCCTCAAAATGTAAATCTGAATTTATGAATCATGTATGAATATTAAAGAGCAAATCAGATACCTAAACTCCGGGACATGCCAAGCATGGTGCTGACGTCCTCTCTAATGTACCTTGGCACGATTGGTCTTGGACATCAACTTTAGCAACTGCTTTTGTACCTCTAATCGGAAAGAATGTGTACTAAAACCGGACACATCCGGGATTTATCGATCCCTAAACTAGGTGAGATTTTTATTGGCGTGCACTAGTGTACTGCGTTTGTTACTGAGATAACATGGTGTGAGGACAAACGCATTACTAACCTAAGATTGGCTGCATTAGAATATTGGTCGAGGATGGCTACGGACAGGTAATATTCCCCGTGCTAGCAATACAAACGTGATTGTCCAAATGACTCGGATCGTTCTTGCTACTATGTATATTAATACTAACATGGGAATCAGCAAATACAGTATCTGACCTTCTAATATTAACTGTACCTAAAGAAACTAGCAAAAGCTAATACAAATAAGCAAATATCTCCAGTGACAGTTAAAGTATTCGAATTCTTCATGTCTGCAGTGATTGTTTTTCACTTTACCACTGGTTTACCAAGCATACGTTTGGGTGATTCTACAATATTTTTAATGAATACCGTAACCTGCGATTGC